TATGCGAAAAATATTGAGCTCAAAATTGACCTTTGACTCTGCCTTTGTATCATGAGCCAAAAATAAGGAGTCATCTGAAGGGAAAAGGCAGTAACTGACATGACCAGTATTTGCTTGATTTTCACCAGACTTCCATCCATTATAAGAGCACGTCACCAAGGTCGAGTCATCATGGGGTTTGTTTGAAATGACACAGAAGACCTTTAGATTCCCCGTTTAGTGTTGATCAGGATCATGCAGCGACACTTACACAGTTAAACAGTTTGACAGACAAGTTACTTTGCAGTATAGCACAGCTTATACACATCGGAAACTACATATCCCATGATTCATTTCATTGCAGAAAACATGAAGATATATGTTTTTACTTGAAGTCTTGGGATTATGACGGAAACAATTCACACCAAAATATTGTCAAGGTATTTTAAAAGCAAAAAAGTGTCCCATCTACAATTAGATCAGCCTCTTCAAAATATTGCAATAAATATTGTACCGAGAGATATTTAAGTATAATTGAATACAAAGGTGTATTTATTTAATGTGTAAAGACTCTGTGCCAAGGCCGCAACAAAAAGAAGGAGGTGAGAGGCTTGAGTTTAAAATAAAAAATATTTATGAACTAAATCACAAACAAAACATAAACTGTTACTGCCTTTTGTCTTTGCTTGACTGCTTATTTTTGACACATGATACAAAGGCAGAGTATAGGAACTGACAAATATGGGTCAAAAGTAAATTTTGAGCCCAATATTTTTTACAAAGTTTATTCACATGAAATACCCCCAAAATGACATGAATTGGAGATGTTTTATGGAGACAAGCAGGTCGCAGAACCTTCAACAGAAAAGTTACATAGTACATCTTTAAACAGAAGACCTCAGCTATATGAATTGCCCACAGATTTGATCTGTAACTTGACCTGGTGGAGCCGTCTGTTTGTCTCCATGGAGATAGATAATGCCATACTGTGAAACCAAAGTAAATGGATTCCACAAACTTATAATAAAATATAGTGAGCATAAAACTAGCCTCAAAACATTACCGTATTTTTCGGACTGTAAGTCGCTCCGGAGTATAAGTTGCACCAGCCAAAAAATGTGTAATGAAGAAGAAAAAAACATATATAAGTCACACCGGACTCTAAGTTGCTCTTTTTCAGGGAAATTTATTTTGTAAGATCAGAGACCCGAAACTGACATTTCATCTTGAAAGGCAAGTTCTAGTAATAACAACAGAACAGAGAACAACAGGCTGTTAACGTCACATATGAACAGTTCTTCAGATAAATATAGCATAAACAACAGAACAAGTTTACCAAACTCTCCAGCTCACTCCCAATCACTAAATCTATTTAATTCTTCATCCTGGGTGTCACATCTGAGCAACTCCACGACCTCCGGAGGTAAACGGAGCACCGCTTCCTCTTCTGTGTAGCTGTTGTCAGACTCAGCATTAGTTCCAGTTAGAATTAGTCTGGCCTTTCTGAATCCTGACAGGAAGGTTTCAGTTGTCTTTATGTTGTTCATGTTTATTGTTTAAATTTTAAATTGTTAATGATACAGAAGTAATGGTGTGAACGACTGACATGATATCAGACAGGACAGTGGATCTTTATCTTTCTTCTGCAGCCGACATACACAGTAGAGTGTGAAGTGACAGTGGAACAGGAGTACTCAAGCCTAGAGCGCCCTCTTGAGGCTGTCAGTATGAATATTTTAACATTTAAGTCACACCGGAGTATAAGTCGAAGGACCACCCACACCATGAAAAAAGTGCAACTTATAGTCCAAAAAATACAGTATATTGTTGTAATATTTTTTCAAATGCCCTAGTACATGTGTATTTGCTCAGTTCAGCAGGTGGCAGACCCTTCTCCAGTAAAGTTACGTAGTGCATCTTTAACCAGAAGGCCTCAGATAAATGAACAGTTTTGTTCAACTATAGTATATAATTTTTAAAGGCTAAATTATACAATTAAGATTCATCAGTAATTCAGATTAGATTTACTTTACTTAATTAAAGCAATTATGTGACAAAAAGTACAGTTAGCAGCAGTAATTTACATACAGTATGACACTTCTTATCCTCAGAGCAATTATGATTTCAGTATCGGCAAGCACTTTTAATTACACTTATTATAGGTCTATTGGATAATGAATTTTCTCTTCATTATAAAATTCTATCTCCAGTCTCCCCATCTCTCCCACCGATCTGCACCAGTCCGTCCGCTTCACTCAAACCTGAAAGAAAATGAGATGCAAAGACATTAATATTAATAGGCCCGAGTGCTGATTGCGATGCTGTTAGAATGGGCTGACATACCGACCCGAGGGAAAACTACGGGACTAAATCTCATAACATCACCTGCATAACAAGTGAAAAGGGGTCAAAGTTCACCAACACATCTGTTAGTGTCACATAATGGGCGTAATTATTATTTTATGCAATACTTACTAAGCATAATTTAGTGTTGAGTTGTCTAAACAGCAGTCGTGACACAAGCTACACTTTCAGACAAAACTTTGGGAATTAGCATGTGGAAAACTGAAATTTAAAGATCCGATATTATGCAAAAGTTGCTATTGTGAGCTTTTAGTTGTGTTAGAATGCTGTTACGTCCACAAAAACAGACCTGGAGTTGTGTTTTGTTTCATTCACCCATGTTTGAGTAAGCCGTTATTAGTCTGTCTACCTCCCAAAGTTTAAAATGCTCTGTTCCACCTTGTGATGTCATGAAGCGGTACTTTTCAAATCCGTGTATCATTATTTAATTTGTTTTTCAAAATAAAAAAAATTAAAAAGAAAATGAAAAACTACTATTTTCTTAATATTTGTCCTCAAAACCAAAATGAAAAAAACAGATAACGATTAATTTTTTTCAGTTTTCGATTTTCTGTTTTAAATGAATAACGAAAAAAACAGATAACGGCCTTTTCCCGTTTTCGTGACTTAAACTGAGCTTGTCTAACATTTTAGGTGATTATGTTAACAAAATAACACTATTCCCAAAAATATTTATATGAAAAGTGTATATCAGTACTAGTTCAGTCCTGATTCAGTGCGTATGCGGTGAAAAAGTCCTGCGTCGCGGTTTAAGTCATGGAAACGGGAAACGGCCGTTATCCATTTTTTCCATTATACGTTTAAACACAAAATCAAAAACTGAAAAAAACTAATCATTATCTGTTTTTTCATTTTGGTTTTGGAGATAAATAATGAAGAAAATAGTTGTTTTTTTTTTTTTCGTTCTTATTTTTGGTTTTATTTTGAAAACCAATGAACGAATGATGCACAGATTTTTTCAAGTTAACTACTCCCTTTTATCGTTTCTTTAGTACAGACTGGCAATTCCAAATGATTCTAGCGAAGGTTTATCGGGTTTAAAAACACAATGGAGCACTTCTTGTATTACCACATGACATCACAAGGTGGAACAGAGTGTTTCCTGTTTTAGAGAAGAACTAAATATTCAGGGTTCGTGTGTTCCAGGTATGGTTTTGAAGAGGAATCAACATTATAACAGATAAGGAAACAGGATCTTTAAAGGCACACTATGTAACTTTTCTGGTGGGGGATGGACATCTGGTTGTCTCCATGGAGATGTAGTTGCTTTGCCTGGACTGTTTCTTATCTGTCTTCCATTTATTCAAGTCCAGATGTTTTTATTCTTACTGTGAGCGGTGTCGCCTCTCCACAGATCTGACCTGTAACTTGGCCAGATGGTGTCACGCCTGCTTGTCTCCATGTAATCGAGACACAGCTATAACATCTCCATGGAGACGCGCAAACAGCTGACCCTCCACCAGAAAAGTAACACGAGCGCATTCATTAGAACCTACATGTATATTTTTGGAGCTTTCTACCATGTGACACCATTTTGATACAAAACTGTACACAGCAATGTGACGAACCTGAGAACCTGCGATGTGCCGGAGTTTCATTATTGTGTTATGATAGTGTTCTGAAGGGGGAGTGACTTAGCATTGAGCGCAATGGGAGGGGAGATTCAAAGCATCAAGAAAAACAAAATTGAAACTCGTAAAACATGTTATGGCATTGTTTTCCTCAACTACAGCACTTTCAGAACAATAAAAGGTAACATGGTGATCGAAATATTTTAAAGGGAAAGTTTGGAATTTTGGACATAGAACTTCATTTCCTAGTGAGCCAGAGTGTTGGAGACGTGTGGAGACACTTTTTAAAATATTCCATCCAGTCCTTGTATTTGCAGAGGTCACTGGTGTTAGGCTAGTGCATGTCAATGGCCATAGTTATCCTGCTGCTAAAAACTATAACTCACTCCACAAAGCACCTGAAGTAAATCTATTACTACACCAGACTGTCTGTGAATGTCTGTGTTGATAGAGTAATTTTAGAAGTAAAACCAACAATGCATTTGAAGGATTTATGTCTGAGCAGCAGCAGCAAGTTGTACTTTCTGATAGAAAGCTTGGCAGCGGCGGACTAATTTATGAGAAAATAGTCCCTCATAATGTGACAATCCATGTGATGCAACTTTAGTTTTATTTCAAACATTGTTCTATCAACAGAGACATTTACATTGACAGTCTGGTGTAATAATAGATTTGCGTCAAGTGTTTTGTGGTTTGGGTAAGCCTCTTTTTAGCAGGAGGCTAACTATGGCCATTGACATGCGCTAGCCTAGCATCAGCAACCTCTGCAAATACAAGGACTGGAGGGAATATTTAAAAAAGTGTCTCCACACGTCTCCAACACTCTGGCTCAGTAGGAAATGAGGTCCTATGTCCAAAATTCCGAACTGTTTAATAACTCCTCTTTAAAGACGTAAAGATGAAGGCATCAAAGTACCAAGGTTTTGTGTTTTTTGTGTGTTTTTATTCCATCGGGAGTGAACTTTTCCACTACCCCCATTTCAACTCTCATTTGACTCTTAATGTAATTGCATGTATGTTTTTTGTCCCTCGAGTGTTGCCGTCCCGTGTGCATGTGTGTCTGACCCTTTCCTCTCCTCTCCACAGTCATCCTCCCAGCTTCAGGCTTTGATAAGGACCAGCAGTGCGGAGGTAAGATTAATATGGAATTCTCCCCATGTTTTCTGTCTATACGTGTTTCTATATTCGTCTGCATGCCCACTGTCTCCCATAGCGCTGTGTACCCATGCATACATCTACTGCAAATTGTTTAGTGGGCTGTCTATTGAGTTGTAGTAGAAATGTGACAGGATGCTGGGAGAGTGGTTGGTGAAAAGGGCAGGGCTTGTCAGAAATGTTGACAAGAAATGGTACGACAAAAGTGCACAAGCGAAAAGTGGATGTTTGTGTCAAGTGGAGGGAGAAAGTGAAAAATACACTATGAATAAAATGTCAACGTGAGGTAAAAATGTTTGTACATTTTTGGGATAATTTTGTTTTCAAATTGTATGATAAAAATGACAATGGAGTATGAAAATTGTGCTATATTTAAAGTTGTACTGCGTAATCTGCTCGTTTCTATATAGATCGTATTGCTTTGTCTAGAATGTTCCACAGTTTAGATTAAAACTATCATGATCAGGAGACAAGCACTACGCTACATTACAGATCAGATCTGTGGAGAGACGCCCCTATTCACAGAAGGAATGATTGTGTTTTTGAGCAATAGAAACTCCTCTAATGAACAAATGCTAGATGGATTTTTTAATGTGATACTATGGAACATTCTAAGCAAACCAATAACATCTCTATGGAGACAAGCTGATAGTGGACCCTCCATCCCGAAAAGTTGCAGAGGATCTTTAAGTTACTCACTTGACTTGAGATATTCATTATTATTATGATGATTGTTTTTTTTTTTTTTGTTGTTGTTGTTTTTCTGCCTTTTGTTCCCCCCAATTTTAAGATGAAAATGTTGGAATAACAAAATTGGACTTAAAGCGATAGTATGTAGTTTTTTGGCCAAAAAATTAACTAAAATAAAAGCATGTTTTATGGATATTTTTATTGCACTGAGAAACACAGAAAAACATGTGTCCTTAAGCCTAATTTACAGTCCAGCGTCAGATCGTCCATGTAACGATGCAGAGAGTCTGCGTTAACGTGAACCCCCTACGCAGACTAATTTGCATAAACTATGCTGAAAAAAAAAACTGTTCACTTCTTGCGCGCTGATGCAGTCAGCTTCTGTCGAACTTAAAAAGGATAGCAGACAGGTAAAAAAAATAATGTGTTATGCAGTGTTATCCTCATTTTAGATGTCAAAAGGGTTTTGGGGCTCCAGGTGTTTTCTTTTCTGTGGGAGATGGTCCAAATGGCTCTTTGAGTATTTAAGGTTGTCGACCCCTGGTGTACACGAACACCAGGTTTAAATCCTAGCCTCCTAGCGTTGTGGCAGTGAATTACTTTGCGGCACATAGACCTCGACGCTGACCCATAAATCAAAAACAACGGCGACAAGGCGATGGTGGCAGTGTGCGTTGGGTGGACACTGAACTATACTATATTTCTTGTGGTCTGGAGGAGAGCCTCTTCCTGCTTGTTTCCATGGAAATGTTGTTGCTTCGGCTATTCCACAGTATGGCATAAAACATATCTAATTCCATGGAGAATGTCCTGAAGTATGGCTTTAACTTTCTATTTCCATGGACAAACTTTATGGATCCACAAGGGAAATGAGTTGAACACAGATCACACATCACAGTAAAACATAATAACAAAGAAAAGGACTTTACAGTTGACTTTCCAGCTCCTGAACGTTACATACTAGTATCGCTTTAATAAATCACCTAAACAAGTTTTCAGTGTACTCTAAATGAAAACTCCTGATAGTGCGTCAGACTACTACCATATCATTAAAATGTAATTAGTCAAGACATTGTCAGTCTGAATGAGCTGAATACATTTCTACACATGGAAATTAGCAGCGCCACCCGTCATTTGAGTCGTCTGAAAAGTGCTAATTATGCTAATGTTTGGTGACCTGTTTAAGAGCATGTAAAAAAAAAAGGAAATCCCACACAGTAGTTTATTTTTGCTGCTATTGTAAATGATCTCCTGACAGATTTATCCTTCAGAGGTGTGTAGTAGTAGTAGTAGTAGTAGTAGTGGCAGTTTTATTTACCCAAGTATTTTTATTTTAGTAACTTTGATAATAATTAAATGTAATCCCCTGTGTAGTCTTATACTCTTGAGTAATATTTTGACTCTAGTAACAATACTCTCACTTGCAGAAAAACATTCTGATTACTCTTATGTCAGCAGGTTTATAAAAAAAAAAAGGTTCATTTTTTACAATATGGACCGTTTCTTGCACTCCTTTAGATATGATTTAGTTTATCTTCTGATTTATTTTGTGTACTTCTGATTCAAATTATAAATCAGTTGACAGTTACTCTTACTTGAGTAGATTCCTCAAATACTTTTTTTTATTGTCTTGCGTAATATTACCCAACTAAAACTTTTGTTTACTTTGTCTGCTACCCTCTATGAATCACTGCTTATAGTTTGTTTTGTTTTTTTTAGCTCACCCGATTATTTTGACATTTGAATACTAACAGTTATCAAAAGTTGTACAATAAATATTACAGTGTGTTCATAATAACGGTTCTGTATTCTTGCAGCGTTCACGTCGATCCACCTGATAGCCACGGGCGTGTCCTGCTTCCTGGGGGCGGGGCTTCTGTCCTTCCTGGTTTACGTTTACTGTCAGAGATTCCACAAACCGTCTCAGGAGTCTGCGGTGATCCACCCCACCACCCCCAACCACCTCAACTACAAAGGAAACACTACGCCCAAGAACGAGAAGTACACGCCCATGGAGTTTAAGGTACACACAAGCTGAGATAACTTATTATGCAGCTATCCATTGAAGGTGCCGGCAACTTCACAGCTCTTTGTTGTGATGACGTTTATGGGGACATTAGCTCCTATTGAGCACCGCAGATTTCTAACTCAGAAGTCAGTGGATTTGTTTCTTTTATTAAGTCATTGATGAATATTGCTAAGTCATTGATGAATATTGCGAGTTAAAATGTGCAAATTATGGCATAATGATCCACGGGTGTCACAGATTATAACTATGCCACAATAGCTCTTGTTTAAAGTTGAATGTTTTTCTAATTATATTTCTAATTAGCTTTACATCAGTTAAGTGGCACTTTGTGGATAAAAATATGCATTTTTCTGACAGTTTAAAATTAAATTTGACAATTTGATTTTATTATTCTGTTCATAACTATTGGGTAATAAAGACCTGGTTGACCATGGTTGCTAGGTAACAGTTATGGACTTACCTCTACATACTGTATGTCACTTCTGCGGCCAATCCAGGAGATAAAATGACAAACCTCTCCAGAATGACAGATGATGGATTGGGATTATCTCGAGCTAAACTCCAGGATGTAGTAGTAGTAGATGCAGTACTAGTTGCAGTAGTAGTAGTAGATGCAGTAGTAGTAGTAGATGTAGTAGTAGTAGTAGATGCAGTAGTAGTAGTAATACTAGTAGTAGTAGTAAATTCAGTAGTAGTGGTAGATGCAGTAGTAGTAGTAGTAGTAGTAGTAGTAGTAGTAGTAGTAGTAGTAGCAGTGGTAGTAGTAGATGCAGTAGTAGTAGATGCAATAGTAGTAGTAGTAGTAGTAGTAGTAGTAGTAGTAGTAGTAGTAGTAGTAGTAGTAGTAGTAGTAGTAGTAGTAGTAGTAGTAGTAGTAGTAGTAGCAGTGGTAGTAGTAGATGCAGTAGTAGTAGTAGTAGATGTAGTACCAATAGTAGTAGTAGATGCAGTAGTAGTAAATACAGTATTAGTAGTAGTAGATGCAGTAGTAGTAGTAGTAGTAGTAGTAGTAGCAGTAGCAGCAGTAGTAGTAGGAGTAGGAATAGCAGCAGCATTAGATGCAGTAGTAGTAGTAGATGCAGTAGTAGTAGTAGTAGTAATAGGGGTATCAGCGGCAGTAGATGCAGTAGTAGTAGTAGTAAATGCAGTAGTAGTAGTAGTAGTAGTAGATACAGTAGATGCAGTAGTAGTAGTAGATGCAGTAGATGCAGTAGTAGTAGTAGATGCAGTAGATGCAGTTGTATTAGTTTTTAAAAGTACTGTAGATATGAGTCATTGCTTATTCGTCACATGTCACAGCTCATAATGTCATGTAACAGGAATCCCCATGTAATTCCCCTGCTCCCCTCTCCATTCTGTGAGCCTATTATTATATGTGTCATTCTAGCACATGGGCTCTGACACCTGCCTGTGCTGGCCTTGTTACTGCACCGTGGACAGGCTCCTGCACACTCCTCTCATTATCTGGAATAAGTTCAATAGGCTTTGTGCATGTGACATTACAACACTGTAGAATCCCTATAGTTTAAAATAGAGCTGGAGGACAGGTCTAAATTCTATGGTGAAATTTGCAAATAGCAGATTTATTGACCTGGTTTATGGTTAATATCTCTATAATTATTAGTGGGCCTATTCACATGAAACAATAGATGCATCAAGAATTTCAGACTTCCGGTCACTGCGCAATGCATACTGGGGAGGATTTTCCTAAAAAGTGAGCATCAAACCGCCATGTTTGTTTTCCCAGTGGGATGCGTCTATTGACAAAGCCAGTCTTTTCTAGTCTTTTCAACCATATCGCTTTTGTTTCTGGTTCTGATATTGTCATATTTTAGTTTTGGGATTTGAACATCATAATTGTGCGGTGGTTGGATGTCCTAACAGCGGAAAACGGTTCGAGAAATTTATTTGCGAACTCCAAAAATGCAAAAAGGAATCAGATCTGTGTGACTGCAAACCTCTGTTCAAACTGTTTCCCTTCCCAACGGAATTGAAAAATAGTGAAAGGCGAAGGCGATGGGCAGGATTGATCCACGGGAAGGAAGAAAATGGTAACTTTTGGCTGCCTAAATCATCCCGACTTTGCAGCGAACATTTTGTATGTGAAGCGCCAACAAAGCAAAATCCTGATACATCGCTCCACCTTGGTTACGAATTAAAAAAGTCAACCCCAAAGCAAAAGGCACCAACTGTTCACCAAGAAACACCTTCCACTGCAAAGCGACCAAGACGTGATGTTGCTGTAAAACCACAAGAACAAGAAAGTGTGAGCTCAGCCTATTTGTCTTCTGCACCTCTCGATTAACAAACAGGATCCCGCTTTGATGGCGCTCCACATACTAAATGTTCTCTAAATGAACGTGGAGATGTTCGTAGCCGAGTGTTAATGAATTAGGCCCAACTGTCACTTAAAAAGGAATTTGGGATCTTTGAATCTGGCACAGAGTTCTCTCAGCATCTTCCTAAAGTTGAAGTCACAAACATTTTTAAAGAAAAGAACCATGAATCAGACCCATTGTTTTTGTTCTCCATTAATATTCCACCTATATTACACATATTACATGAAATAAGTCCCGATGTAGGTCAGTGGGACAATTACAGCATCAGTCTCCTACACTGAAAGCCTCCTCTCATTACCTGTATTAAGTAGAACACATGCACACACAGCTAGAGTCAATGCTACATCCATGTTTACCCACCTCCTCCAAACAATTCATTCCAGGCAGCGAGCAGCGTTTTCAGCATCTCTAACAGGATTACAGCCCCCCTCTCTCCAGATGGATTACATTAGGCTAAGTGCTTAGTCTAATGCCTTATGTTAGCACACACACACAAGCCAATCATGTCAGAATAAAAAGTGAGTTTCCTCTGGTTTTTATGTAGCGCAGAATAGCAGCGGTGCGTACGTTTGCGATGCTTGACATGAGCTAAATTGGGTTTGTTAAATTGCTTTGGTTCTGAATAGACCTACGCTCCTGCTCTAACCTTGAGGCGGGAAACAGCGATGTGATGTAGCAAGTGAAAATGAACCAGAATTTATTTTGAGGAAGTTTTAGTAGAAATGTTGGTGTTATTGATCTAAAATACTAAATCAGCTGGTGGGACTTTGTGTATAGAGATTTTAAAATGTCTAAAACATTATATTAGATTCATGTTTTGCTATTACTTTTGAAGTCACAGCTGCCCTGGACCAGACATGTGGCTGCCATTCTGCACCTCCATAAATTATATCACACAAACACCAATTTAAGTGTTCAAGTTATTTTATGTTTTGTTTTAATGTGGCCATTGAGTGTAACTACAGTCTTCCCTCGCTATATCCAGTGTTGTGCATGAACGAGTTCAAAAGAGCGCGTTCATTGAACACGTTCATTTTTCAGTGAACTTTGAACTGAACGCAACACTTTTGTAAATCAAGAACTTGAACGTGAATTTGTTCAAATTATGTGTGATGAACGACGTACGTCACTGTTGGGGTTCAGTTAAACGTCGGAATTTGACGAGTGACGATCTGCTCGCACTTCACCTCGCGAAACCACAGCCGCGTGTCAACGCGAAGTCGACTCCACCGGCAGCTTTAACGGAACGTACGGGCTCTTGTGTCTCTCAATGAGAAAGTCAATCAAACTTGACTGGGCGCGTTTAGCTGCTTGTATTTACCTTCTGTACAGACTGACCACGGCAAACGCAAGGATTTCAAAAGTACATTTCAAAGCACTAATGAACAGTGTGTGGATCTGGGCTCTTTCACATGATACACACCTGCCCAGGGAGCACAATGTGCTGATGGTAAATGCACAAATACAACAATAGATCATGCTCTCTGTGGATTTTGACGGGGATACGCGCCTACGCTTGTGTAGAGCGTCAAAAAATAGGATGGATCCTATTTTCTGAAATCTACACGCACAGGACGTGCTGCTCCGCGCGCGTATTATTTTACTTGGTACATATGTCAGTAACGCGCGTCACAATGCTTTTTTAACCTGGATTGAAATGGTGGGTTTTTCGTTTTTCTTCATACAAATTTGCTAAAATCACAGCGATATCAGCAGCGGTGAAACGCCGGAGGTGCGCCCGCGTAGACCGTGATCCTGAGCGAAAGGACCGACGCAGAAGTCCGCGCTCCACCGAGATAAACGCAGCTGACGCCCGATCGCACTCGGGGTTCTCTCAGGGGCGGTCCTAGATTCCAAGTTCTAGTCCAGGATTAGTCCTGGTTTGGTCCTGGTTTAGTCTTGGTTTAGTCCTGGTTTAGTCCTGGTTCAGTTCTGGTTTAGTCCTGGTTCAGTCCTGGTTTAGACCTGGTTTAGTCTTGGTTTATTCCTGGTTTAGACCTGGTTTAGTCCTGGTTCAGTTCTGGTTTAGACCTGGTTCAGTCCTGGTTCAGTCCTGGTTTAGACCTGGTTTAGTCTTGGTTTATTCCTGGTTTAGACCTGGTTTAGTCCTGGTTCAGTTCTGGTTTAGACCTGGTTCAGTCCTGGTTCAGTCCTGGTTTAGACCTGGTTCAATTCTGGTTCAGTCCTGGTTTAGTCTTGGTTTAGACCTGGTTCAATTTTGGTTCAGTCCTGGTTTAGTCTTGGTTTGTTCCTGGTTTAGACCTGGTTCAGTCCTGGTTCAGTTCTTTTTTAGTCCTGGTTCAGTTCTGGTTTAGACCTGGTTCAGTCCTGATTTAGACCTGGTTTAGTCTAAGATAAATGCAGCCTTTCATTTACAGATCTCACCTAAATATAAAATGAACTGAACTTTGAACTAGTTCAAAATTAAAATTGTGAACTATGAATGTGAACTATTCATTTTGAACAAGTGTGAACTGAACTTTGAACTAGTTCATGAAAAGTGTGAACTTGCACAACACTGGCTATATCAAGGTTCACCTTTCACAGTCTCGCTGTTTTGCAGATTTTTTTGTGCAATTTTGTACGCTTTTTTTTTTTTTTTTTTTTTTACAGTGTATGAGCGTGCATTGTGTTCCTCTCCCTGCGTCCTGATTGGCTCAGGGACTGTAGACCATTGTCAATCAGTCTCCTCCGTGCTGTCTCCTGTACAGTACAGAATATGTTCAGCTTGTCAAATTTACATAAATGTTCAATCGCTAGCAGTGTGATTCTGAAGTGCAGCGCGATCAGGCAATTGCCACGCGTACAGTGAGGTGTGGAGCTCTCCGTCGATTCATTTATTACAGAATAAATGAATCTTCGGTTCGTTATGTAAAGAAGGAGGAAAATAACAAAAGGACGACAGCAGCAATAAGTTTGAAGAAGGATGCAAAAAGGATTAACTGTCCTGTGTGAGAAAAGTGTATAAAGTGTGTGGTCAGAGTTTTACAGACTTAGAACAGATATAATAATTGTAAAATACAAAGTTGATACTTTGCGGATTTCACCTATCGTGGGTTATTTTTAGAACGTAACCCCTGCAATAAACGAGGGACCACTGTAGTATCAAAATAACATACAGCAGTTAGTTGGAGCTAAAGGTGCACTATGTAACTTCCTTGTTTCCATAGAGATTTCTTAAGACCTCCTTGGTTCAAGGGACTATGTTTACATGCATATTAACTTCATGCCATAGAACAGGGGTCTCCACCCTGTAGCTCTCCACAAGTATCTCGCTAAGGGATTTTTGAATTAAATGTATTGTACTGAATATCTCTAATTTGATTCATTGCCATTGTAAATGTGTTATTTTGAACTTTATGCACTAATAAATGGATAATGGTTTCATGTTTTATAGGTATAGTTATATAACTATACAACATGTAAGACTTGCCGTCTTATATTGACTTAATTTCTTGTGACTGCTAAAATGAGTCGGTCTCTGGCATTTTCATGTTGTAAAAGGCAGCTCACCAGATACAAAAGGTTGGAGACCCCTGCTCTAGAACAATTTAGACAAAGCAGGAGGCAGATCCTCCACCAGAAAAGTTACATAGTGCACCTTTAGGTCTTTGTGGTGTTGTTACATGTTTGTACAGTTTCCTGTGGGTCTGTGGGTTTCACAATGATATAAAGTTAGGACCATTGCCAGAGTAAACATTTTCACCTTCAAAGGCACTCAAAGTGTTTCACAACAAGGAACCACTCACCCATTCATACACCCTTGCCCAAGGACACAAACACAGCATTCATCTGTGGGAGCTGGAATCACAGCAGCCAACCTAAGAGACCGCTCACCAATGGTGTTTATGTCCAGAGCAGAAATTGAACCACCAACCTTCAGATCAGTGGACAAACACTCTACCAACTGAACTACTGCCACCCCAATTATAACTGACACTTTAAAACTTATGCTTCTTCTCTTGAATGACAGTTGTACATGATTTCAGTTGTAATACAGTGAGTTCCTGGCTAGATGTTAGTAAAAGAAATGATCAGGTTTAAAATTTGACATTTAATGAAAAAGAAAACGCACACCAAAGTTCTTGTAGAGGTGCAAGTGCAAGGAGCAGCAAGATAAAAGTGAAAAAATGCATAGCACACTCAGATGGCCGATGTCCAAAAGCTTTTTTATTTTTAAATAATGTTTTGACGAAAAAAAAAGCCTTCGTCAGATTTTTTTTTTTTTGCTTTGGACCGAAACGTTATTTAAAAATAAAAAAGCTTTTGGACATCAGCCATCTGAGCGTGCTATGCTTTTTTTCATGTTTAAAATCTGACATTTACCTTTTGGATATTTTTTTGACAAAGTAACTGACTCATGGGAATCTCCTGGGAGTATGACATAATCACGTTCTAGACAATTATAAAATCGCATATTGATACTTTTACCACTGACGTCATCAACATTTTCTGGGTGATTGAAGCTAAATGGAGGCACTGCTCTGTCTGAAACTCTGTTAGATTTTAATCCGTGTTATCTTTAAGTTTTGTTTTAACACAATCTGATCATAAATAACTGACTTAGCTGGAACAAATCAGCTTATCTTAAAACGTTTTCTGGCAGTGTTAATGTTTACATTGTATCTCCAAGGTAACTGCTGGCCATTCCACCACAGACATACATACAGAATGCCCCAGTATGATGTCACTGCAAAGTATCAATAAACGTACTTACTTAAATTACTGGCGCTAATCGTATTTTTCTTTTCTTTCTCTTTCCTTCCAGACGCTGAACAAGAACAACCTGTTACCGGACGAACGCTCCAACTTCTACCCCACCCCCCTGCAGCAAACCAACGTCTACACCACCACGTACTACCCCACCGCGCTCGGGAAATTCGACTACCAACCCAACTCCTCCCCCTCCCCCTGCCGGACCTACAACCACAGCAACAACAGCAATAGCAACAACAGCTGAGACCCGCCCCTCAATACACAGGCTACTCCAACCCCGTCTACGGCCCACAGTCGAACATTTTTACGCTTGGGACCTTTAGAAACTTCTACTTGTGGATTTGGATTACTTCGGGAGGACTTGAAGCTACGATATTGGCTGCGTTTTGCTATAAAGTGGACCTAGCCGGACCAAGCAATGCTAAAATGCTAAAAGTACTGGCTTTATATGGAAAAATCGAGCTAGCCTTTTGGATTCACGACATTCTCAGCAGCTAAAGAACTAGAAATGAACTACGCTTTTGCTATGCCCATGCTACAAACTACCGATTCAATATAAGACTTAATAATATCGGAATATACAGAAGCAACATCGTCAAGAAGGAAGACAAAAAATGGACAAAAACTGCAAAAATAAAAACTCAACCAAGAGATCTCCAAAGTTTTGAAAATGGGACAAAGTCGTACTGTTTATAATGCCTCGGGTGCCTGAACGCAGTAGGCAGGATTGGCCAGCAGGAGGGGCCAGCGAGTTTTCTATTCATTTATGTTTTTTCAAAGAACAATAAAGACTCAATTCATGAATTAATTGATTGTACAATTAGTTCAATGTGTAATCTACTGGTGGTCATATACGACAGGTATGACCAATGAGAGCGCTGTAAGACTGGACTATGTGTTTCTATGGCGATAGAATAAGCTAGTAGACTGGCACTTATTGTTTTTGTAATTTTTTAAGAGGTTTTGTTATTATGCTAAGACGTAGCATAGGAGGACATATTTTGTTAAGTAATTGATTATTAATGTTTTCTGATTTATTTAGCATCTTGGTAACATTATATAGGTTTGGATACGGAATTACATTTGTGCCAAAAATATTAACAGTAGTTAGTAACTCTTATCAAAGTATAATAATTTCTGGGATATCAAGATTGTGTTACTACTTCAACATTTGGTAACACTTTATAATAATTACAACTTAATTAGCATTAACAAAGTATTCAGGCTTCGTAACATTAGTTTCTACCCTAACCATAACCTTAGCAGTTACTAAGCTTGAATCATGCTTAAAAAAAAAAAAAAAAAAAAAAAAAAACACTTCTAATTTTGTAAGAATAATTAGCATGTAGTTATTATAACATGTTACCAAAGAAAGTCTGGTTTAATAGTGATAATCTAATAGTGGGAATTATCATTATTTCACAATCAGCAAAAAATAAAAATTAAACAAATAAACAGGAAAATTAAGGTTAAGGGTGCATTCATGTTTGTTCTCTGCAGGCCCGTCGACACAAATTTGGGGGTCCGGGGTAAGACGCCTTACATGGGGCCCCCTCTCCAAATCTGGGGCCTGAGGCAAATATGCCCCTTCCCTGTCTACTGCCCTGGTCCTCTGGTCCAGTTTGAGGCTTAGTCCCACTTTAGTCCTAATCACTGTAGCTTAGTTGACAATACAAATGCATCCAATAATTTGCTGCTGTCTTTTCAAGCACTGTGATTGGTTGAATACTAATCAAGAGGCTGCTTTGCCAGTGAAATATAACATAATAAGAAAAATAAAATAAAAGTATTAACGTATTTTCCGGGCTATTGGGCGCACTCTTAATAAGAGACCAACCCCATCAAAAAATCGACTGCATGCCCCACAATCTTGAGCGCCCCATACACGAATCCACTCGGGTGTCCCAGCACGACTTCAGTAAACTACAAAACCGCACCACCCACAGCACACGCAAACACACACAGAACAGACAGCGACCGCGCAGTCGAAACACACCCACAGACACACTCATCACTCCACGAAGACGAGGAACGGAACAGAGGAATGAACCGAAAAGTGAGTGCAACGTGCCACTTCTAGCCACAACTGAACAACTGAGTCACTACGAACACGCCGACAATCCGTTGGTCCCAGACAGCACCCTCCCCACACGCCACAACTGAACAAAGCCCAGAGTCACCGTGTGAACGCGCACAAACAAAGTCCCACTGACCCATCCAACTGTTGTGTTTCGTTTAAAGTCCGGTGCGGTTTATTTGTGAAAAAAGATTGAAAATAGACCATTCTAATCCAGAGCGCCTAATAGTGCAGAAAATACGGTAAACTAATGTAATCAACTTTGTAAAAAAAAAAAAAAAAAAAAGGTCTATATGTCCCAGTAAGATTGATATTTTTGGCACAGATGTGATTTCGTACATAAGTACCACTACAAGAATGTATTAACTGTCTCGCTCTGGTTCACATCACATGAATGACTTTGAGCGTGAGTGCATGTGAGCGCGGATGAACCACTTGTGTTTGTATTCACTTTCCTCTGTGCCCCTAAACACACCACAGAAAACACTGTTCACATGACTTCAATTCAGAATATTAAAGTTGATTTGAAGTGTTGACTAAATTACATTTTAATAGTTACATGACCTACAAAATTTAGTGTTTCAAGATTTTTCAAGAATTTATAAGAAAATGTGCAACCGGTGCAATTTTCTCCCCAATTTGGCAAAAATATATAAAATAGTCAATACAACTCAGTTAATATTCTGAATTTAAGTCCCGTATCCATGGAGATGTTATTGCTTTGCCTTGAATGTCCCACAGTATGGCATTAACCTACTTTACATAACCTAATTACTAGTGTTTAATTGCTCAGAAATACCTTGAAAACGATGCATTTTTACAGCGTATGGGCTCCCTCTCCACAGATCTGACCTGTAACTTTGCTTTGCGGTGTCACCTACCTAAGTTTAAAGGTGCACTGTGTAACTTTTCTAGTGGAGAGTAAGCACATCACCTGTCCCAAAGTGTTCATCTCTACGGAGACGGCGAGTGACTCCGCTGGGCCAAGCTACACGTCAGATCTGCGGAGAGGCGAGCCCACTCACAGTAAGAACGCAAGAAAGTTTTTAAGTCAATAAAACCGCGAGTAAATGCGAAATGGATAATGCCATACCGGGACATTCCAGACAAAACAATAACACCTCCACGGTAACAAGCAGACGATGTACCTTCCACCAGAAAAGTTCCACAGTGCCGTTTTAAATAGATATTGCTTCTTTGGCAGTGTAATACATTTGTAGATTTGATTTGGTCCACTGGTTTTTAGTCATCTTTGAAATGACAGGGGAGCTACAGAAAGTGCTCAGTGCTTGGTAAGGGCATTTGACATTATATTTGATACTGCTCGATCGATGAATGCTAAGTCCATTTTCGTTTAGTGCACGACGCGAGGACTAAACCCGTGTATATAGCCAGCCTCCTGCAGCTCTGTAAATGTTCCTGTATATTGTAAAGCTAATACAGTTTGTTTAAAAAAGCCTTATAGTTGTTTAAAGAAAATAAATTGCAGCAGCTAAGTACACCCCGACCATAAGATTTGCATGGGGACACCGCTGTCAATTTGAACCGCCACCTAGTGTCATTTGTCGGTAATGCAGCTTGCAAAAAATATCAACTAAAAATAAAATTCAACTTAAATAATTATAAAAAAATAAACGAAATAAAAGTAATTAAAGCAGTGTTTTTATCGTAAAAGTTTTTGGGATCGTGTTGCAGATTTACAAGCAAAGCAGTTTTGAATGTACTGCAAAAAGTATCACGAAATAGAAAAAATACTTTAGTAGCTAAAACATAAAAATGAGTTTAAATTTCTGACTGGACTAGAAAAATTGCATCGAAATACCGACAAAAATAAAACTGACAGATAATTTGGTTTGTGATAAAAATAAATTAATATGAAACTGGTTAGAAATAACAGATAATATGAGGCCAACTAAGTATTTAAATCTAAATTAGTCCAGTCTACTCAAATGTTTATGGTAAAATACTTAAATTGTTACTGAAATTGTTATTGATTATTGGTAAAAAGTGAAGAGAAAGTTTCAACGGTCTTCACCCAAACACTGTTTTTACAATCAAGATCTTTTGGCTCCCATCCAGAAGACATTTTCAACTGATACTTTGCTGTGACATTTCGCTGGGGGTGTTGTACGTGTATTTTAATGTCAGAATGTTCACCCGTTACCATGGTGACACAAACCCCACATTATCAAAAACAAAACAGCCAAAAAAAAAGTTCTAGATAGTCTGAAAACGCAAGAAAAAATACAAAGTGGATTTAAACAGCACATGTTCAGGAGCCTGTGATGAAGACGAGCATCAGTGGTCCTGTTTAGGTGTTTCAACAATAAAGATGAAGAAGTGAGAGAGACAAATCATCTCACTTGTTGTAATTCCAGATAAATCAGATCTTTCTGGTCAGATTATATTAAATCAAAGCACAGATTAAAGTCTAATTTCAGACAGAGTAGTGCTTTCAGTTGCATCACACCCCTGTAAAGTATCAATTTCATGGTGCTGACTTGAGGCACTATGAATTCCTCCTACTCCCAGTTCCATCAAATGTAAAAATGTCTTCTGGATGGGATTTTGAAACATTTCGATTGTGAAAACAGTGTCCAGATGATCACCGCTGAAACCTTCTCGACACTGAACCTCTCCTGGACGAATGAGGCACTTCCTATTGGTGAGAAATCGGAGTTCAAATTGAGCGCGGTGTCCCTTGCGATGTGAGGCCTGAGCCCTTCTATGCAATGTCCCGGTGTGCAGTTAGACCTGTATGTAGACTGTAATCACTGCCTTTTAGACACTGTGAATTTTTGGTATCCTATATTTTTGTATATTGTACATTATAAAGGATAATAAACCTTGATGCCAATACAAAAGACGGACTTGTGTTTTGATCCAGAAGGAAGTTGCGTTTTCGTTTTTAGTTGAGTGTTTGAGTTTTACGGCGTTTAAGATGCATGTTTGACCATTAACAGACTTTTTTTTTTATGTTATAATGTTGTTTCCTCATCAAAAACAGACCTGGAGTTGTGTTTTGTTTCATTCACACATGTTCAACACACAAACCCTGCATATTTAGGCTGAGTTCTTCTCTAAAACATAAAACACTGTTCCACCTTGTGATGTAATGGGCAATACAGTAAGTGCTCCACTGTGTTTTTAAACTCCATACACCTTCACTAGAACCGCTTGGATAATTTTTGTCCTGGAATTGCCAGTCTCTGACCTAAACTACATGACATCACAAGATGAAACAGAGCATTCTGAGGTTTGGAGATGTAGACAGACTAATAATAAAGTGTTACTCTAAAAGGCATAAATGAAATAAAACACAACTTCAGGTATGTTTTTGAGGAGCTAACAACATTATACAATTTTTTAAAGCTCAAAAGATTCCATTTTGTGTAATATATGACTTTTAATTCTTGACCAGAAAAGGTGGCTCTCTCTGGGTGGGTGAAGAGTTCCAGCCGTAAGTGGAGGAGTTCAGGTATCTCGAGGTGTTGTTCACAAGTGAGGGGAGGATGGAGTGTGAGATTGACAGGTGGATCGGTGCAGCGTCGGCAGTGATGCGGTCGCTTTATCGAACCGTTGTGATGAAGAGGGAGCTGAACCAAAAGACAAAGCTCTCTATGGTCGAAATGAGTTTCCTCTGCAGGGTGGCTGGGCGCTCCCTTAGAGAGAGGGTGAGGAGCTCAGTCACATGGGAGGAGCTCGGAGTAGAGCCGCTGCTCCTCTACGTCGAGAGGAAGCATCTCTTGGACGCCTCCCTCGGGAAGTGTTCCGGGCATGTCCCAGGACACACTGGAGGGACTATGTCTCTGGGCTGGCCTGGGAATTTGAGGAAGTGTGCAGGGTGAAGGAAGTCTGGGAGTCCCTGCTTAGACTGCTGCCCCCGCGACCTGGTCCTGGACAAACGGAAGAA